GTAGCACTTAGTTCATTTGCACATCACTTGGAAACCTCAGCAGTAAAACCATCTTTGCTTGTCATTGGACATCTAACCCTACCACGTTCAAGGTGAGACTCCTTCCACAGCAGACTAGATTTCTTGCTTAAAAATCCTGCAAAATCCCCATAAATCAACTAGCTGTGTCCTCCTCTCTGCTGCAGATCAAGGTCTATAGAGGATGTCTCCAGGGTAGGGAATAATTACTGTGAGGCAGCACATGCTGATAAAACCTGCAAATGGAGCAGGCAACCCTTGGGCAAATGGTAAGTTGGTCACTGCTTCTTGGCATTAGCTCATCACGAGATCTCGAGGCTTGGAAAACCTGTTCTAACAATACCTAACCTGTGACCAGGCTATCTCACAGCCACGTCAATGGTTTCTCTCTGCTGGCTGGTTTGATTTAGAGCCCAGCAGAATGAGAGGAGAATTTCTTATTAGTTTCCAAGTGTTTAATGTCAAAACCTGCTTCCTGGAGTACCCGCTTTGCAGCTCTGATACATTCATCTCCAGGAACCCTTGACTCAGCCTGCTCCAAGGTGCTTGTTGGCAGTCATTTTGCAAAGAGAAGCTGCATGCCAGCTTGGAGAGGAAGTTCATTGCATTGCTGCCTTACTCTGGGGTATGAGAGCTCCTGACTGCTTAATGGGGAGGGAGATGGGATGCCAGCCAGCAAAAACTCAGCCATGAGGAAAATTCCAGGCTGGCCCTTGCTACACTTGGCCTCTTTGGGCTTAATGGTGAGAGTTCAACAAGGCTGTTCAAATGGTTTCTTCTCAGGCATTCATATGTATGGCAGAGGCAGAATGTTGTTCAAACAAAGTCTGCCCTGGAGACATACCTGAAGGACCCCAAGCAAGCCAGTCTTTTCCTACAGCCTGCATACTCTAAACTGGGGAAAGATCTGCAGCATTCCTCATGTAAAGGAAAAGGAAGACATTTTTCATCAAAGAAAAAAATAAACACCAGTGCTAGCATGCTCTTGCATCTGTATTCTTGAGAGCATGTCTCCAAATTCCACTTCCTCAAAGAGCAGCTTTCTCTAAATAATACAGGCGTACCCATTTCCTCCAGTTTATAAAAGCCCTTGTGACAGGCAGTGCTGTGTTCAGCAAGAGTTGATGGCTTCTTGTCCTTTCATCCCATCAGCATGAAAGTGTCTCTTGGCCTCAGCCTCTTCCTGGCTGTCCTAGACTCAGGTAAGTTTTCTATTAGGATCTGCGGGGCGGTGAGATGTGGAACGGGCCTGGGAACTGTTATTCCGTGCCTGGGGCTGTTCCTGCCATCTGAGCCACAGGCAAATCCCTTATTCTGGGGGATTTGCCTTTTATGGGGGTGAATGGTGGATCAGGGTGGAGTAGGGGTTCTTTGGTGCTATGATCCAGCTTGCAGATGAAGATGTAGGTGTCTACATGAGCTCCCACAGCAGTCACTAACATTCTAGTCAAGGCAGTCATAGGAGTCTAGAGAGTGATTCCAATCGCTCTTAGACAGATAGACCTTTAGTTGGCTGAATCAGTCTCTAGCCACCACTGATATAAACTCAGGAGCTCAATTAATTTGCTCGTGCCTTGTGTCTTGTGACATTTTATGCATTATTTATTATCTCACCTGCCCTCCAGTGCTGCTCTAGAAGACCACTGCCTCTCAGAGGTTCTGTGTCATGACTGCCACCCCATGCAGGTCTCACAGCTACTGCAAGGTATCTTTGATGGTACCTGTGATTAGGAAATTGACATGTGCTCAATCTGCATGGTGAACCCTTGGGTGCAGATGAGCGTGTGTGTCAGGGAAGATGAGCTGTTTGGCTTCTCTCCGTAAACTCTTTATTCCTCTCTAAATGCCTCCTGATGGTTGGCTGATATTCTGGTTCTGCTTAAGATACTCTCGTCCTGAAATAGCAGGCAGTCAATAAAGTGGGTTCCTCTAATGCCTAAGAAGAGCTATACCATTCACAATTTGTACATAGCATAGTCAAGACCTACTGGCAGCCTCTTGATCCCTAGCCTCTTGGCTGCCCTGGTCACTGCAAAGAGAGGATTTGGGGGCTGCAAATCCAGGAGATGCCTGAATGCCTGCCAGGGCAGAGGGGATTTGAAGCCTATTTCTTTAGCATCCCCAGCAAAACCAACCAAGCAACATCCTATAAGAGACAAGTCAAACTGGCTTTAAAATGTAAAACTATCTTGACAAGGCTTCCTCTCATGTCTCCAAACTGAAATTAGAATTAAAAACAAAAGAAAACTATTCCCCCCCCCCCAAAATTGAACAATGAAACAGGAAAAATAAGGGAAGTGAAACTTGAAAAGTGCTAATCAGATGCTGAAGCAAAATGTAGATAAAAGGGGAAGTGAAATCTCCTGTGGCTGCTACCCAAGAACATGTCCTACTTCGTTCCTCAGGGACCACTCTTCAGTGTGAGGTTTGTCACAGCATAGCAAAAAGCTTCTCTTGCCCACTGAAAAACTGTAGTGGTGATGAAGATTCCTGTGGCACCATTCTGCATGAGACCACAATAGGTAGGTGAGAAGATCATTCTGGCTGTTTACAAATGCAGCTTTCAGAGAAGGGTAGGGGGATGGGTCTCTCTCTCCATCTCTGCCATATGGTAAGTCCTCAGATGAGTTGTTCATTTTTATTTTCACTCAGTGAGGATGCAGAGATTGCCCTGGAATGGGAAAAGGACAATATTTCTTCATCTTGAGGAGCAGAAACCTACCTGGAGGGCTTAGTTCTGAGCTGAAGAGGGGAGAGACCTAAACAGCATACTTGATGGTGAAGTTGGCTTTTAATTGGGGCTGAGCTGAGTAGCTGAGTCGAGGGATTGGACTGTTAGGGACACAAGGTTGCTGACATCTAGCACTGAGGGTAGGTTGACCATGGGTTGGAGACAGAAACTGGCCTGCATCTGAGTCCTTTCCCTGAACTGGGAAGGAGATCCCAGGTAGCCTGGTGGCACTACTGGCACTGAGCTAACAGCACATCCCCCCAGCAGTTGGCACACTAGCACTGGGTGCTGAGGTCATACACAGCTGCACTCTCTGCTGTGTTAGTGGCTTGGCCTTAGCCATCATCCAGATTCACTGTTGTGACCACTGGATTTTAGACTGGAAGCTGGCTCCTATTCTGTCAGGTTTCACGCTGCTAGCTCCAGTGTGTTTCTTCCCTCTGCTTGCACAAAGTGACCCTTCATCCTTCCAGTGCTGGAAGAGACTCAAGAGACTGCTTTTCAGTAATTGTTCTGCCACTCCTGTCAAGCCTTTTAAGTCTAGCTCATGGGAAAGACTAGATTTGCCTGTGTGAGGATGTCAGAGCTTGCAGCTGATGGATCTGTGTGCTTTGTGGACTGCACACAGGGAAGTGTGGGCTATGGGTCAGAGGCACATGGGTTGCCCCATAAGCTCTAAATTTGGAGCATTATAGCTAAGATAAATATCTGCAACACACTAGTTGACTGGGAACAATTGTACCTTCCTTCTCCCTTTAAACCTATTGTGGAGAGGGAGAAATTCCTCGTTAGTGTTTCAGATGTAGTAGCACCACCTTAGTTCCTGTGAGCTAACCTTACCAAGTTCCTCAGCACTGCCTTCAGGGTGGCTTTGCTATCTCCAAACCCCTGTCAGGATGTGGGGAAGGCCATATAGCAGGCAAAGGGACAGAGAAGTTCTTGCTATAGGAAATAATAGGAGGGGAAGGGAGTTATCTGGTGGTTAATGAGTCGGCACTGCTTTCTCCTTCATGATAGGTGGGATGACAATCTCTTCATTCATCAAGACCTGCCTGATGTCCAGTGTGTGCCATCTGGGCTCTGTCACCATGAACTATGGGAAAGTAAAAGGAAGAGCTGGCTGGGCCTGCTGCGTGGGTGATGCCTGTCGAACAGCATCTGTCTCAAGCAAGTTGCTTTTTTGCTTCTACCCTGTCACCTCATTATCTCTGCCTTCCCATTTCGAGGTATGGCTTTCTAGCCCAAGCCTCTGCCTTGGGGGTATTCAGCCCTGTCTTGCAAGAGAGATGACTTCATCGCAGATCCTGTATGCTTCTCGGGACAGGTCATGGACAGACTGAAATTCAGCATGGGCTTTTTGCTTGAAAGGGCTCTGCAAAATAGTCCTGTGAGTAGTTTCCCCTGCCATGGGAAGTTAAGTTGAAAGATAGCATCTCTGCTATGAAGAAAGGCTGAGAGAGCTGGGCCTGTTCAGCCTGGAGGAGAGAAGACTGAGAGGCGATCTCATCAATGTGTGCAAGTATCTGAAGGGAGGGCGTCGAGAGGGTGAGGCCAGTCTCTTCTCCGTGGTGCCCAGCAACAGCACAAGAGGCAACGGGCAGAAACTGAACCACAGGAAGTTCCGTCTGAACCTGAGGAAAAACTTCTTGACTGTGAGGGTGACTGAGCCCTGGCACACACTGCCCAGAGAGGAGGTGGAGTCTCCTTCGCTGGAGATATTCAAAACCCGTCTGGACGTGATCCTGGGCAATATGCTCTAGAGGACCCTGCCTGAGCAGGGAGGTTGGGCTAGATGAACTCCAGAGGTCCCTTCCAACCTCAACTGTTCTGTGTGATTCTGTGATAAACCATTTTGCACAAAGCAGGTTCTGGAAGGGAGTCTGCAGCACGGTTTTGCACAGAAAACTTTTTCTGTCTGTGGCCACATAGACTCTGTTATTCTTGCTGCTGGCAGAGAGGGTCTTTGCATGGGCGTTTAAAGAGGTCACGGGTGATGAGCCTCTGTACTTCCTCTCCTTCTTTATTAAAATCAATCTCTTTCTTCCCAGTGCCACCAGTGGACAACGTGCCCAATGGATTACAGTGTCCTGCCTGCTACAGCATTGACTCCTTCCAGTGTGGTAACGAAACCATAAATTGCACTGGATCTGAAACACAATGCATTGACCTTGCTGGGTTGATAAATCCTGGTAACTATCTTTTCTTTTGGACTATCCTCTTTTTGGTTAAATTGGTGAAACCAATCTAGGAGGAAGCATCACATAAAAATAAAAAAGGGCAAAAAAATTGAGAAGGAGAAACAGAGGAAGTGACACAAACCTGAAAGGGAACATATTTAAAGCTGATTAAAAAGAGCAGGGGTGCTTTTTTCTCCCTGCTTCCCTGCCATGCGCAGATAACTGCTGGAATTCCTCACAGCATTGGTATGGCAGAGGCCAGGAGCAAAACTGGACTCATGAAGCAATCTGATATGTGGAAATGTAATAAATCTGACCAAGACCATGAATGCCCTAGTTAAGGTGCATGAGGATGTGTCTGAATCTAAGCCAGCTGCTAACTTAGAGGAAGTTCAGGTGACACGTTCCTGGAGTACAGGGGATGCCTCCTAACACAGAGCCATCAGCTGTCTCATGAGGTGACACTGGCTGCTGTGGGCACAGGATATTATTTCTTTTAGTGGTGGTCCTTTGCCTAGAGATTCAGAGACAAGTCCCTCTTCACGAATGTGGCGGCTGAGCCTCTGGGGTCAGGGAACCTGAAAACCTTCCTAGTGAGGGGAACTCATCGTCTTTGACCAGCAGTGGTCAACATGAAATGCTCTCCTTCAGAAATCTTATTCTCCACTGTAGAGACTGTGGCTCGAGAGAGGAAAGTAGACAAGCTCCCCGCCTGCTTGGAAAAGCTAGCTCCCATTCCCTTTCTCCCCTGGGTAATAAACTTCTGCGTCTCAGGGCAGCCCCATCAATGCTTCAGCAGGCAGAAAAAATTCTAAAGTCAAGGCCAGCAGCACCTGCTGTAAAAGCAGACTGAAAAAAGCCTTTGTGTGTGGTTATGGACATAGTTTCTCTGGGATGATATTATTGTCAGGTGATAATATTAGGCCTTAAGATATTTGTTGTACATTTTGTACACCTTTTGTCCAAATTCTGAATTAAAAAGTGTTTTGCGGAGCCAACACAAGAGAAAACAATCATTTGCTTAGTCACCACAACGGAACAAGAGTGGTGCAAACTGCATGTTATTGAAGTAGAAAAGGTTCTTAACTTGTCTTGACTTGATTGATTGGCCACTGTAAATCGAGGAGATCTGTGCAGTGTGATGAGCCAAGCAGAGGAAGCAACTGTATAGAGGGAGCAATGGAAGATGAGGAACCAGTGAAATGCTCATATACATTTTTTGTACTCAAGATACAAATGTCCAACAAATATTCCAGACCTCTGAGCCTGTGTACAGGAGAAAACATGAGCAGTGTGAGCAAAAAAACAATGACAGTGAAAATATATGAATCCCGGGGAGTTATGAACCCAGGATCAAAGGGAAGAGTCACACATGGCCTGTCTGACTTGCTGTGTGTCCCTAGCTGTCAGTAGTTAAGTAATTTAACTGTAAAACTGCTTGGAATTGTTGACCTATAAGAATTTTTCTCATAGGTCTTTAGTTTGGCACAGCAGGCCTAAGTAGATTACCGTTTTGAGTGGAAAAAACTCTAGGCTAATGAGGAACTCTGGGAGCACTGGAACAAGGGACCCAGGCTGGGTCTCAGGCCACTTATCTTTGACGCCCAAGATGTAGGCTAGATGTGAGCATCTTCATGTGGCTGCAGCGTTTTTAAGGTCCCTTTCTCAGGTAGATGTTCTGGTGTCTGGTAAGGGACAAGTTCAGGCTTCAGGCCCTCTCTCAGCAGATGCATGAATGAGCTTTCTCTGTCAGCTTGGCTAGATCCTGTGAGGCCTTAGAGCTTGGATTTACATGAGTAAACGTGTCAGTCGTTATCATGAATAGCCACATTTAGCCAAGTGAATACTGTCCTTTAATGTCTTTGCAGCTTCTCATCCCCTATGTCAAATTTGGCTGAAAGATGGTCATTTGGTTCAAAAGTCCTGAGAGGGTCAGAGAGAGCAAGAGACAAATAAATTCATGCAATACCATCGCATAACTCATTTCTTTAGGAAGCTGTGCTAGATTTGAAGAGAAGACTCTCTACCTGAGAGAAAGAAAACAATTTAAAAGATTTTTGTTATCTTTACTCAGCAGAAAGCAGGAAAAGGCAAACCCAAGTTCCTTTGTATTTCAGGTCAACCAAGGTGACCTTCCTGCTTCTTCAAACTTATTTGGGGAGGGAACTGCAGGGGAATGGATTGGTGGATTTGTAGTCAACTGGATGCACAAAATGAACAGCGCTCAGGAAGAAAACATGAGCCTCAGTGACCAGGGAGGGAATAGCTATGGAGAATGGTTTCCCTCTTACATGGCATGTACTTCTTTTTCTGTGCAGGTGGACAGTCTATGAAAGTTGCCATGAAGGGCTGCACTACCATTTCTGAATGCAATGGTGCAGGAGAAGGGAAAAAACAACTGGCAATGATGGACATGAAAATAACGCAGTTCAAATGCAAGCCAGCCTCTCTTTTGGCCGGAATACATTCTGGGTTTCCCCCTCCAAAAGCCCTCTTTCTCCCTGTTCTGTCAGGATTAATCTTGGCTAAGGTATTTTTTCTGATGCTCTCTAGGACTGGAATAAGAAAAGCCCTTGTAAAATTCTGGCATTGGTTTGCAGAGAGTCCTGTTTGCCCTTGCTTCTTCTGCGTGGGGAGTCATTTTCAGACTAGCTCTTCTTCTCTTATTATTTTGCAGAATAAAGACAGTACTTACATGCCTTTTGTTTTCTGATTGATTTAATGTGATTTAAAGCTGCATAGATTTAATTGTGCACGTTCTCTGAGCGCTTTGTCCACATCAGGATCTGGGGAGACTGCATATGTTACCTCTATACTTCACAGGTGACAGGAACTCTCATGACAGCCTTAGAGTCTACATCCCCTATCTCAGTAAAAGTCCCCTGTATTTGGCTAGCCACTTTGCTAGGCTCTGGACAGGACCTGAGGTGAGTTCCTGAGAGGTTCAGTCTGGTTAGAGATGTAGTTCGCCCCCTCTTCCCTCCCTTTAATCCAAAGTGTCCATGGTAGGTCCTTCAGCTCAGAGGGCTGCTTGTGGCCTCCAAGCAGTCGTGAAGTAGTCTTCATTTTAGACAGCAGTCAGCGACTCTTTGCTACAAGCGAACTGCTCCTGGTAAGAGTCTTTCTCCTCTGGCCTTACCAGACACTCCTCTCCTGTTTTATCTCAGGTTTCAAGATTATCCAAAGGAACCACTTGCCTTAGGACGATTTGATTTCATAAAATAGGCAGTTTTCTATGGTGATAGACTGCTAGGAGCCCAAGTAATGGCAATTTGTAGCCCTATGCCTATTTCCATCCTATTGGCCAAGCAACATACATAACTGGCCTAGCATCCCCTCTCCTGCATGGATCATCCACCACCACCTGGCTGTTCCCCTTCAGCCACTGCCTGCCCTACTGGCTCTCCTCAAAGAGAGGTACACAAAGGCACACAAAGGCACTGAAGAAAAACAGCGCCTCTGGCAGCACCACAGTGCCTAGGAGGTAGTATGGGCTGGGGGCAGGAGGATAAAGCAGTAGAAGATCTGGGAGAGATCTGGAGGTACAGTGTAGGAGAGATGCTGGCCACCTTCGGCTTTGGCAGAAGGCTATCCATCTATCCCCAGATGATTGTAACCCACTAGGAAAGGGTAGCAAATTTTTGGAGGAGACTACAAGATTATTGAGCAAAGTTTATGTCCGTGTATGTCTATAGCAGTTCTAGCTTGCACTGCAAGCGTGTACTATTTTTGACAAGGAGTCACAGTGATCAAGCAATGCAATTTTATCTTTCAATCGAATACTGTGGCAGAAAGTGCTATGGAAAACTTTGGCTGTCTAAACCAAACCATAATGTATGGCAGTAGTGAAGTGATTACATCTTCTTCCCAAACGTGCTGAAGCTCCTGTCTTTCAAATAATACCACCAATTAGTTGGGAGAGAATTTCACATTATCTATTATAACACAGGAGTGCGGGTATGAAAATGAAAATTAATTTTTGGGGTGGGGAATGTACTGATAATATAGATTTAATGTTGGGAAAAGAGTCTGGTTCGGCACAGGTAATTGTTTGCAGAGGCAGTGCAATTACAGTGTGGATGTTAGAGAGGAAATACAGCTCCCTCTTGATGGTGTAGAAATAAACTGATACTTGAGCGACCCACTCGTTCAGCATTTTTCCAGATCTGATAACAGCCTGGAATTAAAACAATTCTATATCTGTGCAAGTATATTATCCCTGAACACATCTCCTGCACGTTCATGCAGAACATTGCATTGCTGTCTGTGGCATCCCCCATGGCAGATCTCGAACCGCTTCAGTGGTTCAACCCTCCACTTTTGTTTGTTCCACCTTGACCTGTGATGTTATCAAGCTGGAAAAACTAAATGGGTTTGTTCAGCCTGGTCAAGGCTTGGGTGAGAAACCTCCAGAAAATCAAGGAGCTGGGGAGATATTTAGAGGAAGACAAAGAGGAAGGCGGCAGACAGGAAAGTTTCTGACAAAGGTTTGTGGCACAGAGAGGAAAAGCAACTCAATTTTGACTTCTAATTCATTCTTGTGGCAGAGAGAGCTGTTGCACTCTGTGGCTATATAAATGAGGGAGTGATGAGTGGAAGCAACTGTGCATTTGTGACTGGTACGTCAGTACTTGGTCCTCTTCCAGCATCCACATTTTTAAAGGCTATTAAAATGGAAAGCGTCAAGAAAAATGTCTTACAGTGAAAGTCTTCAGGATCATAAACTGGTGATCTGACGGAAAAGAGGATAGACAGGTGACTTGTTTACAGGCTGTAAACAAACTTATGTGGAAAAAGATAAGATCTTAAAGGGCTCTTTTATACATCAGAGTACAGCAGAAACCTGACAGACCCAAAGGTCTGTCACATCATTGCTGTACAGAGACTGCAACCACTAGAGCAAACCTCCAAAGGTGTCAAGGGGTCATGAGCTTTTGATATCTGCAAATTCAGCATGAAAGCCTTTCAGAAACAGATGCTTTAATTTTAGAAAGGTTATAGGCAGTACAGGCAGAGTCGGTAGATAGACCGAGGTACGCAGGAAGGTGATGGGCTGATGAGCCCTTCTGATCTTAAGTCCGGCTCCTGGAGAGGGAGATGAAGCTGGAGTGTGTTCTGATAAAAGTAAAACAAAAGATGTAAAAAAACCGGTGGCACTAATTTACAAGCACAAATCAAACAGTGGGATCTCAGTATCTTGAGCAAGGAGTGATGAATGAGCAATAGTTGCCTCTAAGTATCTCTAGGATGTGAACACCAGAGGAGGGGGCATCTCCAGCAGTTCCCTGCAAAATAGTCACTGTGGTGAATATAAGAAGCTCCATTGCTTGCAGAGTTTAATTGAGGATATGTGGCAGGGAGCAGCCCTAATTTCATAGGCATGTTGGGGAGGGGCAAGGAAAGATGTGGCCAAAACCCATCATAGTAAATGGAATGACTCCTGCTGATTTTAATGGGCTTTGAACCAGGCCTTAGACACCAGACTGGGTTGTTTCCATCTGCAGTTTCTTTTTATAATATATACAAACCCTACTCCCACACAGACACACACTTACAGACATGTAAATACCAGTTCCTCCCTTAGATCTTGCAGACACTTCAACTAACAGGCATGCAAGATACAGGCAGGCACCAGACGCACACAGCTCTGAATGGCTGGATGAGGCCTGCCTTACCCACAATACAGACCATGTCAAGGACAGCTTTGATCTCCGCTTTCACGTAGCAGAGAGGACACAGAGCATTGTGATCTCTCCCCACATGATGGAAAATTAGCAATGTCTGGCCATTCTCTCCCTCTTCTGAAATTTCAGTTCTTCCCTGAACAGTTGAGCCAACCAGAAAGCCTAGTGTCTGCTAGAAAAACTGCCAATGACCTGAGATAGAGAAATGGATGTGTCCAATGGGGTTTTTATAGAGTTAGGCAGAGAGAGGATCTGAGCTGTTCTTGGGGTGGACACAACCCTTAGCTGTAGAGGGTGGACAAGGAAGGTGTGGGGCAGGAATTACAGAAGCTGGGGAAAAGAAGCTGTATGCTGTGCAGCCATGCACCATGCAAGGCAGTTTTCAGATGCTAAAAACACCCTTAGTTCCTTCTTTCCAGCATATCTGGAGTTGGGAGCTGTCTTCCTTTCACTTCCTAGGAAGTGTTCCTGCCCCAGCACTTTCAAATCGGGAATTCATGACACTGGGAGCCAATGGATTTCTCTCTTTTCAGGCTGAAGCATGGACTGGGGTTGTATTTGCAAAGGAATGTGAAGTTATTGCTGTATTTCATTTACATCGAGACCATGGCTTTTAGGAAGAAGTTTGTCAAGCACCTGGGCCAGCAAGGCCAGTAAGTATTTTGGGAATTGCACTTCTTCAAAGACAAAACGAGGACAAACAGTGAATGAGCAAGGGATCTTTCTTAGAGTCAGCAAGACTGTGTGCTCTGCTGTGTATCAGAGACTAAAGAATTTTTCCTGCCTCTTATAGGAAAGGGCAGCAGACCCATACCCATCTGATCAAGTGTGGGCTTATGTAATGGGTTGGTGTCTCCATCTGAGCATGTCACCAATCTCCCATGGAAATCAAGTCAGTGTCGCCCGCTAAGATCAGCTCCTGCCTCTGGTTGGAAGAATCATACCACAAGTCCTCATTTGTACTGAGTGGCCCATCACTGTCGCTGCCACTGACAGAGGCACCTCCACTGCAGACACACAATATTAGGGGAAGAGAAAGCCATCCCCAGTGTACTGTCTTCTCCATGGAGAAGATGTTTTACCATAAAGCTGTGGATCAAAGAGAGCAAAGGCCCCATAGTGCCTTGTGCTAAGGATTAGGATTTGTGTTCAAAGCTGTATAGCCTCATCTCCTAACTCCATGGCTACTTATACTGGATTGAACACCTAGTATTCCCAAGTTCCCACACATTTGCTCTTCTTTCTTCAACCAGGACATGATCTCTCGAATGTTGTCAAGAACAGCTCTTGGTCCCCATCCCTATTGATGCTATACGGAAGAAGTATCTCTCACTGCCTTTACATATCTTAACTGTGACAGAACATCTTGGCCAAACTCATGGGAGCTCTCGTGTGGATGAATGAATGAAAATAAAATTTGCTCCTGCACCTATCTTGGAGTAACTTGTCAAATCATCCAGCCCAAGCAGATAGACTTCTAAGACCTTTCTCTTACTGTGCCTTCTGGTAACTACAAAGCCAGTGGCAGCCCTGGGACCCTTCCTCCAACCAAGGACCCATCTTGTAGGGTCTGCTGGATCCAAAGCTGTTGAAGTAATTTGGGAAGAAGCTTTTCACTGCCTGTATGTCATGGCTGGCTGCAAGCTCAGATTTAGTGCAGGAGCTTGTTGGAGTTACAGGACCTGAGTCCTCTCTGGAGAGGTGGGAGCTTTAGTACAAAGTGTTGGAGGATGCTTACCTGTTTTACCTGTGTGAGGCTCAAGGTATGCTTAAGAGGTCAGGCTTTTAATATGTGGTTAAGCTTCCTTACAATATGTCTGTAAAAGGGTGACTTTAAGACCTTTTAATGGGTTCATTTGCCTTCTCCTCTTTCTTTATTGTATTGCTGAATCCACAGCTTACTACTCACATACAGTGACAGCAGTCTGACACACAGCGCTGATGACTAGAAGCTTTTGAGAAGTGTGACTCAGTCCCCTCACACTCCCAAGCACGAACGGTCTAAAACTGTAGATGTGGCTTGTTTTAT